TAAGGTGTACACGTTCAATATCCCCAGCCGAATGGAAGCCCCATACCTGACTACCGTAGCAAAGCACGGGCGTTACCAATTTATCAAATAAATCACATATATGTTTGGGCGATAAATTAACAAAACGTTGTAAATATTTTTCCATTTTGAAAATAGATTTAGAAGCTTGGCCAGCCAGAGTTTTCTGAGCCTCATAAAATGAATCCCCCGATGTAAAAACAATGCACAAAAACGAAAACCTATTCACTATCTCTATTTCTCCGCCGTCATAATAAAATCTAACGTCGCTTGCGACCCGTCCGCCTTTTCTAAATATCATAACCTTAGTTTTATTTACATTCAGTTTTAATTTCCATGTGTTACAATACACTTTCAGAATGTCTAATCCGTGTTGTAACCGTATAGCAGACTCGGAAAAAATTGTGATATCATCCGCGTAAAGAACTAAATAGAGTTTCAAACAATTAATTGTTATACCGTCAAAACCATTCAATATAAATTCATTTTCTAAATCATTTATATACATAGCAAATAAAAAGGGAGACAAACTTTCACCTTGACGAACCCCAGTTATGCATCGAAAACTTTCTGAAATTTCATTATTTCCTTTTACCCTTGATTTGATAGAACTATACATAACTTTAATTATATCAAGCATTTTACCCCTTACGCCAACTTTTATTAGTTTAAGCCACAAATTGTCCCTTACAACATAATCAAAGGCTTTTGAGAAATCAATAAATGCACAATGTAGACTATTTTTTAAATGAAGAAGATGGGAGATAACTCCATTTAAAATAAAGATATTATCTATGGTACTGTGACCCGTCCTAAATCCAGCCTGTGCGTCAACGTAAACCTTATATTTCTCGGCCCAAAAATTAAGCCTATTATTCAAAACCCTCGTAAATGATTTCCAAACTACACTCAATAAAGTTATTCCCCTATAATTTGATACATCTGACAGTGATCCCTTTTTATGTAAAGGAATAATATAACCCTCCGTCCATGCATCTGGAAATAATCCTTTCTCATAATAATCATACCATAATTACTATAAACACAACACAATGATATAATAGGTACTATTACAGTCATTATACGGTGATAATTATGATGATAGACAGTATAACACTAATCATACATTACATCACACATTGATATAATAGACATATTTACACTCCTCAAACTACATTATCATATAATAGTACAGACAGTAATACACTTCTCGTACTAAGCAATCAAACAACATTGTAATAAACAGTATCACAAGCCTTACACTATAAATTATACAGCATTATTATAGACAGTATTACTGTTACATAAGTCTTACATACAATCATACATTGAGCTATTTATTATACCCTTGGGGTGACAGAAGAAACATGAACAGGCTAAACGGATGATAATTCTGTGAATGAAGAGACATTTCATATGCTAAGATGCATAACACATTTTAGGTAAATTCTACAAAGTTATTAAAAATCTCATTTGAAAACTAGCGTTAACGACTGTTAAAAATCATCACACTTTTGAACAACTTGGACCCGATGTAGATTGGTTTACATTCATGTCCATCGATTTTATTTGGGTTGATACACTTTTACTAGCGTATCAGCTTAGTGTCACGAGGCAGACAATAGAAAGGTATACCAACGGTGACACTACCTGGAAGAGTAAGAACAGAACAAAGTAGAAATAAACGAAGATAAATATATTGCAAGGAGTGTAGCAAGTCCTTAGTCCTTAACTGAGAACACCGAAGAAAAATGTGCGATGATGTCTCCTATCGAACCAGCACAGTATAGGAAGAAGACGAACATCACCTATATCTTAAGGGATAAAGTAGGTAAATTTTGTTGATGCTAAACAAAGATCCATCTCCGAGATCTAGCCAACCTTCAAAATAATAAATTCTTTCATCATTTTTGTAATACGTGTAATCCATCGCGCCGTGTCATCGTATATAGGGTCAATACTTTGCTAGGAGGACAAGATTATACGTGAAAGTGTCCTATATCACAAGCACAAGCGGAGTAACCTACCTGTAATTTAGTTTCCAAACGATAGATCTATGTCTATGTTTTTTGATTGATGATCTGTGTTCTGCGACAATGACGCACAGACGATCAACTGATTGCCGTCGAAACCTCATAAATGACATGTTTTCTTCGTTATTTATCCAGCTATTGATTTGACCAGCAGACGACGAAGCTATCATTACGTAAATGATGTGGGGTTATTACGGATGGTTTTGATTCATAACAAGTAATGTACAACCGATTCTTCTAGAACCAATATCTAATGTCTTTATATATTCTTGTGAATTGCGCGATCTCCGTTTTATATGATGGCTAATTAGTAGTCATTTTATGTTTTCTTTTTTTGTATTTGTAGTCGCTACAATCAGAACAAGATTCGATTTCTTTTCACAAATGGAACTTGACTCTGCAAACCTTTGCTATTTTGTGTGTGTCTTTGTGCATAGTGAATTGCGCGATCTCCGTTTTATATGATGGCTAATTAGTAGTCATATCATGTTTTCTTTTATGTATTTGTAGTCGCGACAATCAACAAGATTCGATTTCTTTTCACAAATGGAACTTGACTCTGCAAACCTTTGCTATATTTTGTCTTTGCGCAGTAGATACGTCATTTTTCTGGGAGAAAAACGGACTTTTTTTCGTCTTCCAGTTGAAAACAAATGAGCGACGTATCATGTGTTTGCTGACGACATTTTGTCGGTTTCGTTATTTTTTTTTTTTTTTTGCTGAGACAAAGCAAAAACGTCGTATCTACCATGCAAAAATGAAATGAAAAGCTCGCAAATAAGCGACTTGACACATACTAACACTTTGATCCGACTTAAATATGACCCCTGTAATATAAGGAATTCCCCGAATAGTTCTTTCCTTGATGGCTCACTGATATAGACACTTTAGTAATTTGATGAACTCTGTTACTATTGGTGGTGATCTTCTAACTTAAGATTATGTAGAGATAAAGGTTGTGAAATTGATCTGCTTCTCACCTCTGTTTGAACTTCAACCAAATAGATATCTGATTGATTATCCTGTTGTTTCTGATTGATTATCCTGTTGTTTCTGATTGATTATCCTGTTGTTTCTGATTGATTATCCTGTTGTTTCTGATTGATTATCCTGTTGTTTCTGATTGATTATCCTGTTGTTTCTGATTGATTATCCTGTTGTTTCTGATTGATTATCCTGTTGTTTCTGATTGATTATCCTGTTGTTTCTGATTGATTATCCTGTTGTTTCTGATTGATTATCCTGTTGTTTCTGATTGATTATCCTGTTGTTTCTGATTGATTATCCTGTTGTTTCTGATTGATTATCCTGTTGTTTCTGATTGATTATCCTGTTGTTTCTGATTGATTATCCTGTTGTTTCTGATTGATTATCCTGTTGTTTCTGATTGATTATCCTGTTGTTTCTGATTGATTATCCTGTTGTTGTTTTTTTTTCTGGGTTTTTTCTGAAGTTAATGATGGCTATATTTCCTTCCGATTAGGCTGATGAATAACCAATGCCAGGTATGAGGATATATGCAAAAATGAAAATGTTGAAAAATCGAAGAATTGACAAATTAAAATCCCTGCATTGACAATTCAAAGGGATTAACACGCATTTGCAATAAGCATGATTTCCGTACTGCAATTAATATCGATTATAGAAATGTTCAGATTACGCCGACCCACAATAAAGGAACACAATGATAGAAATCGTTTCCTATGTGTCTCCATGTACTTAAGAGCGGCTTAATGATAGAAGTATCTGATTGGCTTCGCCCAGATTACGCTAATTGAATCAGAAATCAGGGCTTACTGCAAGTAGTAAGCCATCGAGACACCATCAATGCGTACAGTATTATGTTTTGATAATATCATCATGCAATGTTAAATTCGACATTGTACTGGAGTTGAATGACAGATGTCTCCGGAACAGTGAAAAGCCGTACAAATGTAGGCCCCAATCAATATCTATAAATCCGCAGTTAGATTGTATTTGTTCCATATACAAACCTCATCTTTGAACTTTGCGGGAGAAACATGAATTATTTATTGCATGTTTCAAACTGTTAAAGCATTTCTGGAACTTCTGCGCGTGCTCATTGTAAATTTTCTATAGAAACAACTGATTGTTGATATAGCGGGTTTTAACGCTCAGGTGTTTTTGTTCTGTGCACGAACAGTTATAGCGATTCCCTTCCCAATCATCACGTGGTGTGGTGATCAATACATGTGAGCAGGAATTGGTGCGACAGTTAATCACCTTCTCTCAACTAGATGCGCGATTGCCGGAAAGAGACCTCTCAATAGAAACAAAGACGAGGTATACCTGACCATCATCAAAGTCTAGAAAACAAGTACGGAACACTTCGACCAGACAAAAAGTGCAGAACAGTCTCTAGAGAAAATGTCAAGGAAATATTTCATTGAACTATAGCAAACTATTGGACCGAGGACTTAAATTAGCGTAAGAAAGTATTTCAACATTCGGATCTGCTTTATCTGGAGGAGTATCTATTATGTAATACAACAATAATTTTGGATTGTTCATTGATATTTAAAATCTAAGCTTCATGACTGTCCCTGTTGGATGTTGTTGGTGAAATGTGAGAAACGTCAATATCTCATCACCTTAAGCGATAATCAAATATTGCTATAAAGAAATAAGAGACTTTTAAACTGTACTTATGGACATAATGACCAACATTTGATTGGATATTAACATTTTCATTTCATGTTTTTTCACTTGTTGCTTTTTATATGGAGCCGACGGAATACTTTTAGACATCTGATTCTTACTTGATCTCTTCTACCATACCCGCGGTACAGTTTATTATATTCTGGAGTTTGCTGACTGACAAATGACAATGTCTATGTGCACGACTTCATATTGAGTCAACGCAGGCAATCTGTGACAGTAGACAATGCTTTGTATAATCAGTAACAAATGCCGTGAGGAGTTTTTTTTTTATACCAGTGTGTATTTCAACATTACGATGATTGGCTAGCAACGGTGGAGTTTATTTTAAGCCCGAAAGAGATGTGTTGAAATGTTTTCCAGAGAACAATTTTTCTGTTGACTTCAAACGTATTTGTACAAAATGAGTTTATGAGAAACTCATCACATTGTAATCAAATCCAGGAGTATAAGCCTATTAGTTTTAATAATTTCTATGATCAGTGGACACTAATCATCCCCAAGGACTTTTCACAGACTGTTGAGATGGTGTTGCATGTAACTGATGATTTCTGAAAGACACACAGTTCAATGGAACCAATGCCAAAGATCAGTGAGCGATTTTCGATTCAATAATAACGACTGTTGATCTAACGATGTGTAATCACGTGAAATATTATCTTTGAGGACCGACTTCTTTTACATTTAACCATATTTATTACCTCAACAGGGATTCTAAAAATGTGATGGTGAACAAAGACATAAGCAGATTTCTCATCGGAGGAAGGCCACAATTACCTGGAATCGAGTTACCGCCTCCGTGTTATTGAATTTCATGACTACCTGCAAACAGACCGATGTCAAAGACTTCCATAGCTATTGTCATTTTTGTGTAATGAACAAGTTTGATTCATATTCTTTTTGCATGGATAACCAACTTAATTGGATTTTGGTTTGATTTCCGGAGAAAACACTGGTAAAAGGATGAGACCAGCTTTATACTTACTGCCGGCGAATAGAAATTGATCGGGACGACGTTTTCAATTCAAATGGCGTATTTTAACCCTCTTTTCTTCTAAGCAACAAAGGATTTAAGAAATGTCGTATATGTTTGATGTTTTGTCTTATTTCCGGTATTGATGTAGAACATAAAAGATCTCTTGAGAGATAATAATATAGCAATTAAATTGAGGACATATTTATAAGAAACAGACATGGGATGCACAATGACAACTACCAAACCGTCGATGATGGAGGCCGGACATAAACAACTTGAAAAGTTCAAGATCAGTCGGCATACTTTTGTTGAGGATATTAATATAAATGAAGTCAGTAAGAACACGTCACAGAGCGAAGAATTACTCGAACAACAGCTGGATTTAAACAGGCGACAGAAGTTTCTGATTTTGAAATCGTGGAAAGGTATTTCGAGGGAGATTAAAACTACAGCCGTGAACATGTTTACAAGGTAACTTATTTGCATAAGTTTATTTCCATTGGAATATGTCCTATTCACTAATCAATATTGATAATTATATATTTGATAAAATACTCAACATGTATTTCAAATATTCGGTATATAATTAACAATAACAGTGTACAAGGTATTCATCTATTTCGTATTAGTTTTGTTAAAATGCCTTTTTTTTTTAAATGGCGCTTATATCTGATATCGGAGGTAGTATGTTTGCTCTGATTTCAGCCTGAAGAAGTGCGCGAAATGCACGAAATATGCACCCTGTGATCCCACTATCCGTCGTTTTTTTTTTTAATTTTGATGCCATTTTGTTGTGTTTTTAGTTGACTCCATGTTTTCTGCATTCAATATTTACTGGCACGCTTCTTATGTTGTTCAACTAATTTTCACATCCAAAAAGTCTTAAAGTGAGTTTTATTCAAATGAATTTGTTCAGATCATTCATAAGCTGTATGAAATCCTCAGAAAGTAAATTGATGCTATCATATAGATATTTCAATGGTTTTTACAGTAGGTCAAATAATATATTAACCAAATAAATGCAGCTATCGTGTGCGTTTAAAACAGACAATTTATCATGTTATGTCCGCTTTCGATATATAGTTGCTCAAAAATATTTCATTTCATTATGTGAATATTATACATTACAATAAAACCTCATTATACTGCCACCATTTGTCAAGGGAAATTTCGGCAATTTACAGAAGTCAATAAATTGAGGGCAATGTATACGGGAATTCTTAAGAAAACAAGACTGAAAAGGGACCTTGGAATATGTTGGCGGTAAGTGAGGTGGCAAATGAAAGGAGGGGCATTATATCGAGGTTTTACTGTATTTAAATCCCATACATCAAAGGAGATACAATAGCAATGATTAATTTTGTTGCATTGCGATGCAAAGCTTTAAAAACTTGTAATATGAATTAAAATTTTAAACAGAAATACTCTAGTTCAGTGAAATCCGTAAATAATGGAATCAAATCACGACCAAACTCACCAACTACAGAATCAATGATTTCATTGCTAGTGACTTGCAAACATCCAACGCTATCCGATTTATATTGTGATCAGAGGTCGATATGCAAATATGAAATAAGCAAATGTTTTTCAAAATTCAGACCCTAAACATGGCATGCAATTATCTTAATGAATATCATACACAATACTCGCATAAATCAAATTCAGTGATTACTATGATAAGTGATAAACGGTTTCATGTTTTTATTGACACATTTTGACCATCCATTGAATGATCATTTACTTTATGCATATAACCTGAGTATAATGTGCATATGTAAATTGGACGGTAAACATGAAATGCAATTACACTAACAGATACACGTACCATGTAAAAAAAAGTCAATACATCAAATTAATTATATGAATATGATAGACGTTAGAAATATATTCCGTGTTTTGTTATTGATATAATCTTGACCAGCACTTAGACTGGACCATGTACATAAAGTTGGAATTTCAATTCATAATTCAAATCAATGTTAAAGCCACTGACCACACGGATTTTCACATCAAACGTCCAATATATTGTAACAAATATGTCCCAGGTACGTGCTCATCACATTAGGGATAAACATGTTGATTAATCAGGCAATGTTTTTGTACCGATTGTTGATCAATGTACTTTGTCAAAACACACAACAATCGTCTCTCGTGCTGACAGTATGAACCGTTAATGAACCCACTATCTAATGTCCCTCTCATCTGCATCACTATCTCTAATGCTGTGCAACAAGGGACGAACGTGGTCCTCTCGCAGACTCAAATTAAACACCAATATCCGGCCTGTTTCCACCATGGATAAATGTAATCAAGATAAGTGATTACTTGTGCAAATGAACATTCTTTATGGTGCTAAAAATCTAGTCCATATACGCACAATCTGAAGTTTTTGCTCATCCTGCGTAACAAAATAATGATGTAAAATGTTCAATGTGAAATTCATTTCGACTATGATGAACAAACATGTAATAACCTTCCAATACCTTCTTTCACACGTTAAGATAAAGCGTACCAACAAGTTTACATACATAATTCCCATTGTCACTTTGTAAAATATTTGTTGAAGTACTTTTCAAAAGAAAAATTGCATAAAGTTTTCATTAATTTGACAGAAGTGGGGTCGAACATGCGACCTTCATATTTAAATCGTACACTTAACCAACGCTGTCATACAGGGATTATGGAAGTACACCATCAAAATGAGTGTCCAACTTATAGGCAACAAATCATATGAAAATCTAAACAGGGGAGCTTACTCTAAGACAGAAAAAAACTTCTATACAGAGGGGAGAATACTCCAAGTAAAACAAGCTCTAAGTGGAACTCTTCTTCGCACTTATTCCGTCTTTGCGTATTGCAGAGTTATCTTCTCTTGTGAACAGGTATTTAGTGTTACGTCATTTGTTTGTGAGAGTAACGTCATCAATTTTTGAGAAAACGACGTAATTTTCTCAAACAAACCATTGACGTAACAATCAATACCTGCTCACAAGAGAAGATAACTCTGCAATACGTATAGACGGAATAACTGATCCAGTGGTACTATTTACCTTAAAATTGGCAATGGATTCTCGCTGATCTTTGGCAACTTTTTTAACTTTTGGAAATATATGATGTTCTGAATTTCAAAATATATATAAGATTGGTAACAGAATAACAAATTGAAGTTTTGGACATAGACTATAGCCCATCATAGATAGCTCTGGTAAAGCTGAACATTTAGTCCAAAACATACTATCTGTCAAGCTGTGTGTGTGGTTTATTCCATTTGGTTAAGGGTGTCTGATGGTCGAATTCGTATGTATTGACTTTACACATCAATGCATTGGTAAACTCTGTTAATCCTTTCTATAAAAGAAGACTCATCCAATAAAACAAGAAAAACAGCATGACAATGGTAAGCTTTTAACACAATGGGTTGGGATGATTGCTTGATATATAGTGTTGAGAGCATGTCGTTTTACTAATAACATAACGCAAGGATCACATGATAGTAACGCTTTAATTTAAATGTAAATACGAAGAACGAAGCAGCATTATATAATTAACAATTTCTAACTTTAGGATAATCAGATCATTCACTCTTAAACTGTTTGTTCATGTTAACAATGCCAAGATAAAATTCAAGTTACAGTGCTACTGTCAATTTTGAGGACTGATAATCTACAAGATGAGTTAATCACCTTCCGACTTAAAAGTATATAGTAAAAATAATATCGAATATCGACAGGAACCGATCTGAATTTGCTGAGGTATGACGTTTGAACCGTTTGTGCATTAATTACTGCTGTTATTTGTGAAGATTATTCTGTGTTATGTGAAAACTATCCATCAGACATCAAAGGAACGGGCTTTAAGGACCAGTTGTAAAGGTCACATAGTGTGCAAGTTGTTTGCTTTCTATTCATATCAAAATAAGGTCAAATGAATTACTACTACCAGGAGGAATCTAGAAGCCGCTTCACAATAGGACAATGTTTCTACAGGTTGTAAATGATATGTTACATTGCATTCCAGTTGTTTGCTTCCAGACCAACATCAGGTAAAATTAATAGACATTATCCGGAGGCACCCTGAAATTCGATCAATATAATCTTATCTTTTTCATATGGATCTCTACCTTTTACGTCCTCTAGCATCACCAATGGGTTCTATAAGGACGAAACAGTTGTATGAGTGTATTTCATTTTTAGCATACTATATCTATTACCGAACTTAAACGTACACTCACCTAAGTTATATTACGTTCATTATGAACGTTGAAGTCAGTTTCAACCTTCTCATTGCATTTTGTTCACACCAAGAAACGTAACTCTTTCAGCCGTGTACCAAGCATCTTTTACACTTACAATGGAATCAGATACATATACTCATATATGTAAGATATGAACATACACAAGGTCACATGATATCCTTCTATCAAATCTATTATTAAAAAGACTTTTTGATTTCTTACGATTTTTTGTAACAGAGATGTTTTTATTTTTCCTTTTTTCACAGATTGTTTGAAACTAATGAAGAATTGAAGGGCTACTTCGTTGATGTTTCTAAATGTCCCTCGATTTCGGATATACGGACGAGTTCAAAGTTTGAAGGTCATGCAGTGATGGTAATGCACATAATCGATGATGCAATGTCTAACTTGGATGACGTCACGTGTGTTGAAAATCTGTTGTTAAACGTTGGAGAATCTCACAGAAAATTCCCCTGGTTTCAGTCCTGCTATTTCTGGGTTAGTTTTTGTAAGACTATACTTTCCACAATATCAAAAATGAAATTCAATGTTTAACAAACTACGTGTTAGCTTTTGAAATGATTTTTTTGGCAATTGCTATTTTAACAATGCTATATTTCTCTAGATGATTTGGCATGATTGTATGTTGTTACATTAGTGATGATGTTGCATATTCATGTGTTTGTTTTAAATTGTGATAATTCACCGACATCTAAATAATTTAATCAATATTGGATATATATGTACAATGTCGCACAATCGAAGCCCACATAAAATTAGCAGACACGAGCTGTAATAAATTCATACTATTCATATTGCATGTATTTTCTTCCAAATTTTATATCAAGAAATCTCCATTGAATAATCAGGTACCTTCTTGTTATGAGAAGTATATCCTGAAAATGACAGTCAGGTTAATTTCTCAAACATAACCAATGCCCCTTTATTATAACCAAGTTTTTCATAGCCAAGTTTATTATTATGTATTGAATTTGAATATCCTGAACATAAAGAACATTTTTACCGATTTATTAGAAAGTTATTGCTAGAAATTAAACATTATTTTATGATTACATATATTTAAAATACCTCATGTATTTTCCTTATATGAGATATCCTTTTTTCAAACATGACTTAGAAACCATATGTCATGATTAATTTTCGTTGTTGTGAGCATAATTTAAGATATGTTTATTACCGTAGTTTATTCCCTACCTTAGTCAGACTACACAAAACGTTTAGGCTAAAAACCGGCCGTTGCTGATCATCCTCTTTATAAGAAAGATTTGTTCAGAAAAAACAGGTAATCGAGGTGTAAAGCCCTCAATCTGTTCTTTAAATCATTACATGAATATGAATCATTCTGAACATTATTTATTTCATCATAAATTATTGATTTGTTTGTACGTACATGTTGATAATGACTTTTTTTGTTTTTCCTTTTTAAATCTTTCCCGACCAGAGATTAGAGGAGCCTTTTTTGTTGGCGGTACACGAGACACTAGGAGACCGTTACACAGCCAACATGGAACACATTTATAAGAAGGCAATTCACTTCATACTGAATTTCCTCGAAGCCGGATTTAAGAAGAGAAATGCTCTTCCCGAGAGTCCGCAATCGCCATTTTAAGAATACATATGTCATCAATATTCCGCAACTCAACTGAGACTGTGGATTATATATGAATTTCTACCATCAACCAGTCAATTGTCAACACTTTGAGAAATAAGTAATATACAACTGCAGAACACATGTCATATACCATTTTTATGTTTTATGTTTGCGTCTGCTGAATTTGAAAATAAGTCCAAATTGAGAATTACTATACAATACCATGCGACCATGTACTAGTAGGCAATATGTGCTATGCCAAGTGCGATAGATAAGTGTAGTGTACTCATAGAACTGTGGATATTGATAAGAACTGCATCATACATTTTACAAAGTTTCATGTTTGAGTGTTTTCTCGCCACGACGCACAGATAATATAACAACACTGATTGTGCCAAACCATCGTCACACGAATCAATTCTCAGCCAGGTTTTAAATATTGGTGTTTTTCTAACAAACCTTTTTTTTTTACAGATGTACAATCAAATTTTTCCTAATTTGAAACATAAGCGATGAACATTTCTGCAGCGACATTCGAAACACGAATGATTTGTTCGACCCAGCTTGCTCCGTTCAATGGTATCTACCTACGACACCATCAAACTATGAAGGGAAATGCTCATGAATATTCAATAGTGTCATCATAATATTACAAAAGATTTGTAACTTTTCCCGTTAAACAGTTGGGTTTAAAATACTGCCACATGACACTTCACTATATTCAATATCGAGTAGTAACCAATCAATTTTTTGTTTGATAACATAAGAGTGACGCGTTTGGTAGTTTATTTCAAAGACAGGAGTTCTACATTATGTATTTAACAATATAATACTTTCACTAGATGTAAATGTACAATTAAACCAACCAGATAATTGAAAATAAGGCGTCACATTGTTTTCATTTTAACAGTTTAACCTTCATAACAACTTGTAAATGTTTATATTCAATGCTTTTTTAGACTCTTGTAATCTTCATCAACACTTACAAAAATATGATATAAACAAAAATGTCTTGGAACACTTATCCATTTTTTATCAACCTGATCTTTCATTAAAATACATGTATCTAATTAATGAATAAACAAACCTTGCGGAAAAAGATGTGTTTCCGCAAAATGTTGCCGGGTTTACTTTTTAAAATTGAGGCCTGGTAGTTACGTATTTACGTATTCCCAAACTTCGGCGAATACTTATACAAAAGCTACCTTTTAGCAGTTTTTTTTTAAATAGACAACTTTCAAAAACTGAACATCAAACCAGTATTGCGAAAGGACGAAGTTAAAAGCTGTTATCATAAACTTCATTATCCAAAACATCATAATTTAGTTATCTAAAAGAGAGACGAACATTGAAGAATTAGCTGTCGTTATTATCAATTATATTGCTATATTCGCCTATAAAATGAGTTTTACTCATCACGTCATTGTCATTGTAAACGTTAGTTTTTGAATCATCATTATTCTTACGTGTGTTCGAAATTTTTCTTTCGAATTATTTAGTATTTTCAAAACATAACACAAACTCGTCAAGTTTTTAATCACTTAAAATCTCGTCTTTACTTTCTTCAAAATAATGTAAAATTTCAGTTACAATAATACATCGTGTTAAAAAAAGTCCCTTTCAAGAGCGACAAGTATAATATATTGGGAGGAACTTTCCGTTTTACAATAATAAAACAAATCTTGAAGATATCTCAATGTGTTTTGCTTGTCATTACACAAGAAATACTCATACCTACAAATTAATGTATAGTACAGATGTTATCACGATATACTTATAGTTTGGTATCTTACGTGAAGCTTTCTGGTACTAGACACAGGAAATGAAAAGTCAATTGACATTTTCTTCAAATAACTTGATCTTGGAAAGAAAAGTTTACGTTTAGATAAACATGTGTTATCACTGAGATTGTTTATACATTAATCGCCATGCCAACGACGTATATAAAGTAGCCATTTAGTTTCGTATTCTCTCCACACACGCGCCCGCCCGCAGGCTGCTGTGAATGCCGCTGCCTGTAATACGATCTAGTCGAACTCCAAATCAGGCATCTGTCATTCTTCGCAGCTCCCGCGTAGAGGGTTGTAGTAGTCCCGGTACCAAAGTCCACTACCTTCTTGTTGATTGGATTAATTGTTTTTACCAAAGTTGTAATTTGTGTGCAGATAATATCTAGATTTCTGACGTCATGATGTCCAGTTTGCTTGTTCTTCAGACTATATTGCTACTCTGTGCACCTCTGACCACAGGGCAGGCGGTGAGTATTTATGCATGCTGTTGCGCCAATCTTAAGGAATGCATACGATTGGTATCGTTATTTGAATACGTAGTTTCACACTCTGCTAATGACAAACAACTTATTAGTAGGTACCCCGTCTATGGGAACTCTTCATTCCTAACATTCCTTGCTGTCTTTGAAGTATTCATACCGTCATCAAGTTTATCTATACAAACATTTATATAACAATGCGTGTCGGCTGTAATATGTATCGAGTTGCTGTATAACAAGCAACACTCTTCACAATATGATTGCATTGTTGACCTGTTTATTAGTATGAAAGACGTTTACATCACAACTGCAAACTGATTGCCAACAATAGTACATGTGTGTTTGTCAGGGATGTGTTTGGTATCTATCTGATGTGATGTTACTATAATGAGTACTAGAGAATTACATACCCTGCTGGTGATGAATGCGCCAGAGGTACTTCAAGCTTAGGCAGGCTTCCGCTGATTATGTACGCGATAACCGGCTTATGAAAACATCAGATAAAAAATAGAAACCCTGATAATTGTATCTGCCCGACTGCAGATATGATTAGTAAAGCTTTCTAGATAAAACAAATGTCACGAAAATAATCAGAAGAAAAATGATACATACGTATCAAAAATGTAATTTTCAAAATAAATATAGATACATACCCACATATATATAGCAACAATTCGCTGCAATATAACAGTGGCATACTATGAACAAGGATTCTTTCGGCCGGTGAAATCTTCTGCCGGAAAACAAAACATGTTCACCAGCGGTTATTTCGCTCTTTTTGTTAGAAATACTACGTATAGCAAATAGTATTAACAGTGTTTGTCGTCATGACGAGTATTCGCCCTCATCCCAACGGTCGAAAAAAGGCGAAAGTTACTGCAGCGAACACTTTCTGTATACAGCATATAGTTTGAAGTGATTTGTCGGAGTAATCGATTTCTATTGTTTCCAGGAAGTATGGATGGCCACTGGCACACAGTGTACATGTAGCATGGGACGCAGGTAGTTAATCATTTGTCACCACTGTAGCATTCATTCCTCTCAGTATTATCCGACTACAGGTAATTACTAGCGATAATACCGTCAATATCACAGAAGCCGTTTGGAAGAATCAATACATTATCAGTGACCACTAGTGATTAGAGTCTCGAGAGATTTACGGTTAGATGCCGTCAATGCCCAACAGAAACTCCCAGCCCGATCGACGATACACGCGACAATAGACGTGCTGCAAGACTCTAATACATGTCTAGGTATGAAGTATAGCGTTATGAAGAAAACGAACTACCTCTAAGTGGTAACACATTTCTGTTTCCCTGGTAACTAAATTGGTTGCACTATCAGTGGTCAGTGACGGCCTCCGAATGTATGTATATATATATCGATGAAAGTACTAAAGACTCGTTGTTAAGAATTTTTCTTTATATAATATATATATATCATGAAATGTCGTGTGGTATTTATTCAGGTGTCATAGGTATAGTTTATATTAGGCCTAGTTAATTCAAGTAGTAATGTTTTGATGATATATTCCTTTTGTTTAAAATAATATTTTTTAATCTTGTCATATCAGTTCCATCCTCACAATGCCATTCATTATGAAAGAATATCCTATTAATAGACAAAACAACTTAAAAAGTGTAATAAAGATATAACAGAACACTATACAAAACAGTACACAACAGATACAATAAAGCCACCTGCTACATCCCCTATGCTGCTTTCACACATGTAAGTAATCACTAACTGTTCTAATTACCAGGTACCACTGTTTCTTTACGGTGGTAAAGCGGTTATTCGGTTGCTAAGGCACTTGTGGGAAATACACTGTAGCTGGCTTTCAATATCCTTGTGTCAATATCATAAAAAAGAATTATTGTCAGATTATCAGCAGCCTGAAAACTCAAAAAGTCTTCATAGTGCCCTAAGCTTTCGAGCTTTATAACGTGATGGTAATATATTTCAATTTGGATAAAACGAATGTGTCCACTTACATCTAGATCTTCCTAAAGTGCTTGGTCCATCATAAAGTTATCAGGGTAGCAATTCACACTAAAACGTTTCTATAACAAAGTTACAGACGTCAGCCGATATCGATTGTGACCCCGGTATGCCTAAATACAGGTCCAGCCGTGATCTGTACTGGGCGACCGTCCTACTGGATCACTTTGATAGCTGTCTCTATAAACTGATGTCATTTATATGATGATTTACAATACATTTATTTCGACAATAATTGCTCTTTTTGGAAATATATATCTGCAAGTGCACGTAGTCAGAAAAAACAGATTTTAATTAAGTACCGATTGTATTTCCACAGCATTACAACAGTCTTAAATTTATTTTTATTAATGCCTTTCAAATAACGTTTAACACTAACGAGTACTAACGGGTTACATTGAAGACGTTGTTTCTTCCAGTGACTTAGGAGATGTACTAATTGAGGTTTTAACAAAGGAAACGGATGGCTGAAGCTTGTGGTTATAGTAAGCGCAATCACCTAACATTCCAGCAAAAATCCTTATAATAAGGATGCTCATGTCCAATAGTAACTTTAAATTTTGATGTTGTTCACAATTTCAAGAAAAAGTATCTATATCCAGTCATAATGAAAAACAAGTTATTACTTAATTGATATTTTCTAATGAATACGGATGATTGGCAATCTCTTAGATTCTATCTCCCCTACAACATCAGCCAGCAACATAATGGACACAAACAACATTCACATTACATCTGCAAAACAGCCACTACATTTATAGTTAACATACCTCTTTATATATAAGCTTTCCAGCATATGAAGCCGATGTTTTGTGTAACTATCATTTTCATTTGTCTTTAACTCATACAAGGCATGTGAGGAATGGGGAATCTGAGCATGCAACACACGTTCACATGAATACACTACTGTTGCAATGGCCATGTAGGAAAGGTTCTGGTTTTATGATCGCTGGAATTCATATATATATATATATATATAATATGATGTAGTATGTTTATTGGAGTTGGGGCTAGGGTATTATCCGCATCATTAACTCGAGTGATTTAGGGAAAGATTGTGTGTTAGATTTTTATGGAGATTTGGTAATCCATTTCATTTATTGGCATATAATTGCAGGCAAAAAATTGCTATGGACCACAGAATCCAATTATAACCAGTAATCGAGGATATACAACCATAAACATTTTATGAGAGTCAGCGGTATGGCTCTTGTTATTTTTGTTTTTGTTTTCTGGCAATTCTCTACGATATAACTTTACTGAAAACATCCACCGTAACATAAATTTTGCAAACATGCCGCATGCGGAAGTCAACAATTAACAAACTGAAGTAGTTGTTTTCCATCTAATTCTGTTCGATCAAAAACTCTTTTATAGAGGAGCTTCTGAATTTGACGTTGTGGCATCCGGGTATTTATAAATGTGTCTAGTCAGTTTGAATAGAAAGTAAGTGTTATGATTATAACAAGAACGTGTTCATATCATTTAACCGTGTCAGTTTGAATAAATAAAACGTTTTGATGCTAAAAAGACATGTTTGTTATAGATATTCAAATATAGATGTATATATCCAGGAGAAATGTTTTAAATAATGAAGTCTTATAATAGAAAATGACGATACGATGTCATTGCCTAAATCGACTTGGTTCCTATACAAATATATATTCTAAAACACTGTCTATACTGATTTATTCTCTACCATAATGTGTTCAGATATTGAAATGAAATTAATATCGATATGATATTGATGGTAACTGTACTGTTAATTGAAAGGTAAATTTGAAGTAGACGAAAGAAATTAGAAGACTTTTTTCTCTCTCTGAGAACATACAGTTCAACACTCGTATTGATTTTTCTAAAATATATTCTACATTTATGATAAAAATATAATGTGAGGTCGAATGTACTGTTTCATTGCTATACAATTTCTGTTTATCATACAAATAGTCTCCATAAGTCTCATTGCTCTTTTTTCCTAAAACATTTTTTTCTTAAAAAAACAAGTAAATGCGATTATTGGATACATTTAATGTACCTATACCATTTATATATGTTGATGGGATCTTCACATTTTTGAAATACCACAGAGTAGAGAAAGATATATTCTAAGCAAATCACCTTTTTATGACAAAAAAAAATCTGACAATCTCTTAAAAAAAATCTTGTAAAGTTAACAAGCAACTAAGATTCATTGGCTCCTTTTTCAAAACCTTGTCAGCTTAATATCAGATAGAAATAAATTTTCACATCAGTTTTATATCAGTTTATCGAGAACAAAAATACAATTCGTAACTAAAACAGCATGTATGAGAGTTCAAATTGGCTATCTGATGACGATATTTAAGTCTGCTTTTGATGATAAAAACATCGTGATCTAAATTGACTTATTTTATTTCAAGCTAACAAATTCTGAACAACTTTACTGATATATCTGTAATAATCCCATTTAGGTATTTGCAGCACGTTGTGGCATCACTCATCTGTTTATTTGTATCGTACACACACATCATGTCAGATTTAAATACATCTAAAAATAACAACAACCAGATAAGACGTGTATTTATAGATCAGTTTCCTTAGGCGTAAAGTTACATGATGCATATAGTCAATGCTGCAGGGAGTATCTTAGTGTATTTTCCAAGGTGGGGTTTGTTTGGCTGGTTTCCCGTGGTACATCAAAACCAGATATAAACATGTGTCTTTGTTATATATAAAAATACAACCTACAGACATAAGATGTCATAACAGCAGCAGTCTGGAACCCTGATGATCACAAGCTTAGACTGCTTAATGTTAGACTGAATCAACTATATTTTATGAAATTATTAAGAACCATTTATACTAACCAACGTTTGTAACACACGTCTGAATTAAATGTATATCCTCAGAATAACCGATCAAAAAAAAAATACGAAGATAAAAAAAGGAAAACATATCTTTAAAATGTGACTGAACTACATGTCAAGCTAACAATACTTTGGACAACA